AGCCAAAGAACAGAAATTCGACTCCCTTTTGCGCTGCCTAAGACGACGTAGTTTGTTCTTAAAACGTCTTTTTACATTTGGGGATTTTTTTTTCCCTCTTTGCTTCCTGCAGAAAGAGGGAACGAAATCGTGCTACGACCTAGGAGGCGAAAAGCTAGCGGGAGGGAACAAAAACCACGCGCCCGCAGCCGGGTTCTCGACTCCAGCGGAGCGGCAAACCTGCAAACCCGCGAGACCCCTGTGTCTGCGGCCGGGCCATGAACATGGCCTTGGCGGTGGCTACTTCTGGGCTCCCCGGGAGCCGCGAGCCTACTCCACAGCAAAGTTGGGCTGGGTGGGTGCCTTCTGCTTGGAGAAAGAATTGTTGGGTGGAGGAGAGGGGAACCACAGGGACTCGGGGTTAGGAGGAGAGATACCATTTACCTCTCCTCATCTACGATGCTCATCCCCTGGACCGTGAAGTTTTACTCACTCAACCTGTATCTCTTGAGAGCCTACTATGTGCCAGGCACTGTGCTAGGCTCTGGGGACAAAAAAGCAAAGGCTAAAACTGTTCCTTCCCTTGAGGAGTTTGCAGTCTGATCTCCATCTAGCCTCCGGGCCCGCCCAGAAAGAGCCTTGACATTCTCTGAGGGCACTTCTTCCCGAACCCCCAGTTCAGCTAGAGAGGCAACAACGGGCATCCTGAAGGGTGATCACCGACCCACTGCCCAGCCAGGGCGATCAGTGCCTCCTTGAGAAGAGGAGTGAGATATCTGAATGGCAAAGTTTTGTGACTGCTTCTCCAAAAATCCTTTCCCCTCCCCCGCTCTTCTCCCACTCAAGTCCCCCGGTGGCCTGTTAACTTGGCTTTGGCGATGGACGAGGGAGGGAGGAGGATGGAGGTTACAGCCACCTGGGTTAGGGCAGGGGGAGGAGGCTGGCTGGAGCAAGGAGGCAATTCATTTGCCTCCCAAAGTGAGAAATTTGGGTGGCAACTGTCGCGGGTGTGGAGAGAAAGTGTCCCCTGACCTCAGGGTTCTGCCCTTTGACCCCACCCGAGATCCCCTAATAGCCAGATTCTTCTACGGATCGTCGGCCTACGATGTCTATTGTCCTCAAAAATGCCTTCTTTCTCCCCAAGCCGAGGACAAGCTTCGAAAATGTCCCCAAGACCTTCAAACTATTAGACCCGTTGGCTGAGCATCTATAGGGACCCACGATGTTATTATTCCCCACCGCAACATGAAAACCCACATCCCCACAAAGCGAAAACTGAAAAAAAAAAAAAAGCCAACTACTCGGTCACTTTCTTTATAAACAGCAGGTCACAGAAAGGACTTCTCAAAGATTTGTCCTTTATTCAGTCGTAGATTGGAGATATATAACTGAGTGAGAATGGAGGCAAAGTACTGGGAGGGGAGTAAGGGACTAAGCAGTCGGTTTTTTATTTTTATTTTATTTTATTTTTAACATAGAGGCAAAGAAGTAGGAGGGAAGAAGGTGACGGGAGTAAGATGGTCGAATTGTTCTAGTTTCTAGAAGTTCTAACTGATGTGTCCCAAAGTGCAATAATGTAACGAGTTCTCTCCCTCCCTCCCTCTCTCTCTCTCTCTGTCTCTCTCTCTCTCTCTGTGTCTCTCTGTCTCTGTCTCTCTTTCTCTGTCTCTTTCCAAATACTGCAACGTTGTTGTAACCACTGACGGTGTTATCATTGGTGATATTGTTACAATCTGCAACATTGTTACCATCTGTAACATTGTTCTAGTTTCCCCTTCCCTTCCACACTTTGGCTCCCAGCCGTTAACTAGAGAGGACACTGCCTACCCAGGCCCCATCAGTGGCCTCCTTTTCTTTTATCAAACGAAACTACCTCCACTAGCACTGTCCTGTCATGCAGGACAGTACTGGTGGAGGTAGATCGAATGTAAATCGAAAAGCCAACGGGAAATGATAACTCTTTCTCTCTCTCAAATAATCCCCTTTAAACGCACCAGATCCCTTGCCCATGGCTGGATCGAATTTAAATTCAGTAAAAACGACTTAGCACCTTTCTAAAGAGAGAGAAGAGCATTTGTTGAAACTGAGGTCAGGTTCACTCCTGCCTGTTCAAACGACCTTTAGAAACCATGTGTCTGTCCTCTAGCGGGGAATAACCCAAAATGCACTGGCTAATGTTCAGCCGTGGCTGGTGGACCTTCGACGTTCTAAGCTGACTCATTCATTCTCGTATTTGAGTCTGTCTGTCCGTCTCTGTAGGTTTCTCTATCTCTCCTCTTTCTCGTCTCTTTCTCCCGTTCCTCTCCTCTCCTCTCTTCTCCTATTTTTTCCTCTCTCCTCTTTGTTTTGTTTCTATCTCTTCTCTTTTTTTCCTCTACCTCCTTCCTGATCTCTCTGCTTCTGCTTCTCTGTCTCTGTTGTTTCTGTCTCTCCCCCTTCCCCTTCTTCGATTTTTAACAGGGTCCCTGCTTTAGGAAAGCTTTTAGGCTTTAGGCAAGGTTCTCCCCCTTAATGAGGCTCGGAAATGTAGACGCTGTCGCTTTAACGGCGAACCAGCTGATTGTCTCCTACGGCAGATGGCCCAGGAGTCCAGATTTGCATTCATTGTCTCCAAATCTGTTTTCGTGCTGGTGTTAGAGATTTCAGCAGCAGCAGCAGCCGCAGCAGCAGCAGCAGCAGCAGCAGCAGATTCATCCCCAGATCAGAATACAAAAAGAGAGGGAAGGAAAATAACAGCCAGCCGGTGTGGTTTTTAATGGGCACCTAGGAAGCCGCCCTCCGCTCCGCGCTTGGACAGTCGCGGCTGGGGTTTCAGCTAGTGGCCGCCCGGCTGCGCTCCAGCTTCGCTTCCAACTAGCCCTTCCCCTCCGGCGGTGTCGGCGCAGAATGTGGGCAGAGTGGCCGGTCGCCTTCTCTCCCTCCCGGATAACTATGTGTCCCGAATCGCCCCCCCGCCCCACGCCTCTCCCCATTTGGCCCTCAGCTGCCCTCTCTTCCGTAGGCTATTGTAAATTCGTTTGTCGATTGTGTGGTTCTGGGCATGTATCGAAGATGCTCGGGTCTCCCTCGCACACAGCACGCCACTCATAATCACGGGCCTCTTACCCTGGCTAACGCAACTGCATGCCCCGGGACTCTAAGCTTTTCCTTGGATTTTCTGACGAACTTCTGGGTTTTTTCTCTTTCTCTACTTATATCTAAGTAGACAACATTTAAACTGAGTTTTCTCTCCTCTCGCTTTCTTTTCTTCTCTCTCTTACCTTCTTCTCTTTCCTCCTTCCTTTTCTTTCTCTTTCTCTTCTCTTTTCTCCTTTACTCCTCTCTTTGAATCTATTTTACTTTTTCTCTTCCCTTTCATCTGTCCTTTTTCCTTTCCCGTGTCTCTCAGCTGTTCTCTTTTCTCCTTCTTTCCCTTTCCTCTCCTTTCCACTTTTTCTTCTTTCTCCTCTTTTATAACTCTCGTCCCTCTTATCACATTGTCTCTCTTTTCTGTCGCTGTTTCTGAGTCAGTCTTTCTCTGGCAGTTCCTTCAGAAGTACAGTCTAGTTTTTGCTTTTGTACCCCACGGTACTGGGCCCATAGAAGACGCTTAATAAATACCACTTGACTGCGTCTCTGTGAATCTGTCCCTGTCTCTCTCGATTCCCCCTTAAGCGCTCGGGCTTTCTCTCCTTCTTTCATTTCTTCCATTCCTTCCGCCGCCGCCCCCAACCGTAAATATTTTCAAAGCAACTTCCAAACCACCCACCAAAACGCTCCCTGACAAAATCCGCTAGTCCCAGTGTCTCTCGAGGAGCCGGCGGGAGCGCTGTTAGCTATCAGTGCTACTGCCGGGAAAGTTTACACACACATCCCAGTGCGTGTGGGCCCACACTCTCACTTTCTTTACAAATATGTACGCATTCACACATAAATAGGCAGTGTTGGAGTTTGCCTCCAGCGTGTGTCTGTATCAATAGACTGAGCTGCGCGCCATACGCGCGTACTTAGCAGGCAGTAGATACCCTGGGCACGCAGCGGAACACTCGGCTCGCGTGCTCCCGAGACAGCCAAGCGCGGCTTGTTGAAGGGAAAACTTCTCCTTCAGCCCTGGGTAGCGCGGAGAGGGAGAGGTAGGTGGGTAGATGCGGGCGGGCGGACCCAGCTAGGCTGGGCTAGGCTGCCGCGCGCCCAGAGCTGCTCTCCGCCCGCTCTCACCTCCGGGACTCAGCGTGGAGCCGGGAGCCCGGCAGTGGCTGGAGGGCGCCTCCGGCTCGCCCGCCGCCCGCCAATCGGGCGCGCCTATGCAAATGAGCGCTCCTTATCGGGAAGGCGGCTCCGCCTCCTTGGTGTGTCCCTCTGCTTGCCGTAACCCATTCATGGGGCCTCGGAGCGTCTGTCTCCCGGCTCTCCCTCTCTCAGAGCAGCCAGCTTCTCACTAGATCCATTTCTTCCCTTGACTCTGACAATTCACCCTGGGATTTTTCTCCCCCACCCACCCCACCTTTTTTTTTTTTTTTTTTTTTGGGTTAGGAGTTGGAGTGGTGGGGAGGAAAGGGGAGGAGGGCTGGGAGGGAGGGAGGAAGGGGGCGAGATTAGGCAGCCGTCCATCTCCTCCTGCTTCTCCCAGAAAACAGGTGATGCTCCTGGCCAGCGAACGCTCTCTGGATGCAGGCCGGGCTGCGGCGGGAAGGATGTTATAGGCGAGCGGAGGTGAACGCCGGCGGCAGGAGCGAATTGCCGAGGGAGGGGAGGGGAGGGCGAAGCGAGCCAAACTTTGACGGAGGCCTACATCGCCGAGCAGCGGCTGCGAGCAGAAGCCCGAGCTTCTCCAGAGAGACACGGACGGACACACAAACTTCGGCTCTTCGTCTCTTTCGAAGACTTCTCTTTTTTGGGGGAGGGGGGAAGGAACGCTTGGCTGTGTGAGTCTCCTGACTATTCAGGGCTTGGTGGATATTGTCCTTTAAAAAAACACCTACACAGAAACAAGAAAAAAATTCTTTTTAGAGTCATCTGTTCTACTGGATCAGACTTTTTAAATGTTTGGGATTCAAGATACGTTAGGAAGAGGACCAGCTCTGAAAGAGAAAGCCCTAGGCGCGGAGATGGATTCGGTCCGGTCCTGGGTTCGAAACGTCGGAGTGGTGGATGCAAACGTTGCAGCACAAAGGTAAATAAATTTATACCCATTCTTTCTTCCCCTCATTTCCTTCTCTTCTTCCCTATCCTCTTCTTTCCTCTTTTCTTCTCTCTTCTTTCACATTTTCAGCTCTTCTCTCTCATCTCTCTCTTCTCTTTCTTTCATCATTCGCTTTCTCATCTCTTCTTTCTTTTTTCTTCTGTCTTCTCTTCTCTTCTCTTTCCCTCTTGTTTTCCTTCTCTCACTCTCCGTCTCTATTCTCTGTCATTCTTATTTTCTCTCATCTCTCTATCCCTCTCATCTCTCTCCCCCCTCATGGTTCTGCTCTGCCCATCTGTCACCTTCTTTTCTGAACGCTGTAGCTTTATCTAGAGACCTCTCCATTCCTACTTTTCCTCTGTCAAAGGGCTCTCTGTCATTTGAAAATAAGGGAACCGAGGCTCCGAGCTGCCGCGGTAATTTTGTCATCCTCCCTGCCCCTCCTCAAGATCTCCTGAACGAGAAGCTCATCCGTGTTTCAAAGCCCAACCCGGCGTTCCCAGACCAGCGCCTCCAGCGCCTCCAGAGCCCCCGTCTCGAGGCCCGAGTCCCCGAGGCCCGCGAGCTCAGCTGTCACTGTTCCCGGAGCCCGAGGGTGTGCCCGAGGCGGAGGCAGCGAGGGAGACCCCAGTTAGCGAGCAGCTGTCACCCGGCGCCACCACCTGAGAGGACAAGGAGAGGTTTCGCCCTAAACTCGGGAGTTAGCCCCCCACCCCCACCCTGCCATTTGGGCCGATCGCCCCCATCCCCCAGCCCAGCCTGGCTGCGGGGCTGGCGGCGGAATGTCCAGCTGGGAGAGGCAGCTCCGCTCAGGGAGAGAACCAGCGAGCCAGCCCCGAGAAACTGCGGGGAGCCGAGCCGCAGGAGTCTGGAAAGTCACGGGAAGGAAAGAGAAGGAAAAGGAAAGGAAAGAAAGAAAGGGAAGGGAAGAGAAGGAAAGGAGAGGGAAAGGAAGCAAAAGAAAGACCCAAGGAAAGGAAAGGAAGAAAGAAACAAAGGGAAAAAGAAGAGGAAAATGCAGAGACAGAAGAGAAGAACAAGGGGAAAATGAAGGAAGAGAACTAGGCAGAAGGAAAAGTTGGAAAGAAAGAAGGGAAAGTCAGAAAAAAAGAAGAGAAAAGAAGGAAAAGAATGGAAGAAAAGAAAAAGGTGAAAGGGAAAAAGAGGAAAAGGCACAAAGAAAATAGAGAAGGAAGAACAATAAAGGAGAAAAAAAGACTTGAAGGAAGAAGGAAGAAAGTAGAGGAGAAAGAAAAAGAAGGAAGAACAGAACACAGGAAAGGAGAACAGAGAGAAGCCTTAACACCCAAAGTCAGTTTGCTTCGTGAACGAGATCTGCAAACTTCTCTTTCTCTTGTTTTTAGAGGTCCCTAGAGTTGACATTGAGGCAAGAGAAATGCCATATTCGGGTCCCCAGTCTCCTTAAATGCCCTTTTAAAAAGTAGGCCGCCTGTTGGATTTCTTTCGCCTTGAACCAGTGGCGGTTTCTTGTCAGTTCCCCCCTCCTTTTTTTTTTTTTTTTTGGTTGCTGCTTGCCCTTCCTCACCCTCAACAGCTGCTCCAGAGGTCCAAGGCGCTGCTTCCCTAGGTCCAGGGCAATCCACCTTCTCCTTTTCATAGCCCACATCCAAACCCCTTCCTTCCTAGAGAAGCTGCCTGAATCGTCGTTGTGCCCGGCTGGATCGAACCTGCTCCCTGGACCTGGAGTCCAGTGTCTCACTCTTGCCTAACCGAATTCCTGGTCTGATCCAGATAGGAGGTCAGCTGAGGCCCAGGCCAACCAACCTGATTTCTCAGGGCCAGCCAGCTGAGTCTCGGAGGCCAACACGATTCTCTTCGCAGCCCGCCTCGGGAGCAGCCCAGCCGAGACAGCTTTTCTCAGCTCCATGGAAGAGACGCTTATACTTTTCCTGGGAGGTTTGGGGACAACTCCCTCTTCTTCACCCCCTCAAGCTAAACAGCTCTCCAAGCTCATTCCTGTCGTAGGAAACTTTAGGCCCCCCAGAACTGGGGCGGAGGCAGATGAAACTTCACAGAGAAGATACCGCCGGGATTGCTCATAGGCTCTCCGCAGAAGATGAGGATCCCACTGTTTCCTACAGTGATATTGTAGAGAAACTGAGTCTCTCCCTCCAACCTCTGCCCCTCCTGACCAGTTTTCTTAAGAGTGAAAGCGCCTTGCGGTCTCGGCAGTGAGGTACTGAGCGCTCTTGGGGACCCTTGCCCAGAGCTGCTTCGCGGTTTAAGCGAACCCCCAAGGCTCGGGAGGCCTGGGATCTCCCAAACTAGAACTGAACCAGGTCTTCGGGAAAACTGAACAGGCGACTTCTCAAGGCAGCAAGAACAGGCGTGCAAGCTCATCCATCCATCCATCCATCCATCCATCCATCAGTCCGTCCGTCCGCCCATCCGTCCGTCCGTCCATCCTCCCCCCCTCCCCCGTGGCCTCATTTTTTTCCCTTGGGGGAAAATGCCCAAGTATCAGTCTGTCTCTTCGCCTGGGGTTGGGGAGGGGGAGGGAGTGGTGGCGGTGATGGTGGGAAGATATTCTTCCTCACTGGAGAGCTTTTCATCTTTTAATAAAACTTTGGATTCTCCAGCCCCGCTACCCCTGGGGTTGTTCCCTCGAAGTCACTCACTCCCTTTTCTCTCTCCGGGACTCCACCTGGGCCGGAAGAACTCTACGATCGAAGGAGAGTTAGACGAAATCAGGGTCCCAGATGAGTCGGATTTTCCTGGAGAAGAAAAGCCGGGGGGTGGGTAAGGCCTTGAGCTGGGCCTGGGTAAAATGGGACTTGGTACCTCGTTTTTGGCCGTCCCAGCTCTGTTCTTGGACTCTGTCTATTCCCAGGGCTGCTATTTCAGGAGTCAGTTTTGGTTCTTTCCCCAGTTTAGGAATCTTCCCTGGAAGACGGGGGAGGGGGGGTAGCGAGCTAGTAAGACGCAAACAGAAGGTTACCAGCTCTAGAAAGGAGAAAGAGGGGGAAAAACCACCCTCAAACTAGGATGACGAGTTGGCTCTTTGTACGCAAACAAGTTGCTTCTAACAACAAAATATTAATAATCAGGGTTATTAACCCCACCCAGCACCAATCCCTTTCTCTGCTCCTTCCCAGGCCACCCAACCCAGGTATTGGGGCAGGAAAAGGCTCGGAGAAAGGCGGGAAATGGGGAGATGCTCAGAAAAGCAAACAGAAGGGGGGGGTCTGTCAGGGTCCTGTGTTCTCAGACCCCAAGGGCAGAAAGCGACTAGGCAGGAAGAGCTGTCCTCTGCAGCAGGAATCCAGGCGCCGTGGTAGGGGCATCTACAGCCCATTTGATTCGGTTCAAAAACTACAACCAAGGGGCTCAGGCCCGGACCACATCTAAGAGACTGTTGAACTTGGTGCTCTCCCTGCCCTCATAAAAGTAGCCTCCAATGAAACTGGGTGTCTTTTTGTACCTTCCATTGGACCCTGGGGCAGCACCTCCTGTAAAATGCCGGTCAGGTTCCAACTTTTAAGACTAGATAACCAACGTGCGGAGTTTTATTATAGAAGGTCGAGTTTTTAATGGGGCTGGGGTGGGGGCTTGTCAGTGCCTTCGAGAGACTTTAGGGGCCTGGTTTCTGGAGAAGGCAGGGCCGTGTCCCTCGGTTTCTCAGAAGAGACGTATTTGATTAAAGTGTAACAGCAGCGTTTCTGGGGCCCTCAGTTTCCCCACCCCCCTCTCTTCTGTTCTTCCGCAGCGGGGTAGCCCTGTCCCGGGCTCATTTTGAGAAACAGCCTCCTTCCAATTTGCGAAAATCCAATTTCTTCCACTTCGTCTTGGCCCTCTATGATCGGCAGGGTCAGCCGGTGGAGATCGAAAGGACCGCCTTCGTGGACTTCGTGGAGAACGACAAAGTAAGACGAGGGGGAAGGGAGGCTGGGTCAGAGTTTTTTTCCGCCCATCACCAGTGGGGACCCCCCCCCCCCACTTGCACTCACAGCACTTAATAACTCCCTTCTGCAAAGTAGCAGAGAGTCTTTCCATCTGTCACTGCGCCGCCCTGGACAGCTAGGCTCACCGGGATGATAAATGGGAGAATCGAGTCTAGGACCCAGGAAAGAACCCCTTATTTCCCCCGGCCCTGTCGCCTCTTCCCCTTTTTTTCCTCTCCTGCTTTAGCCCCCGAACTTGTACTCCTCAGATGTGGAGCTGACCCTCGGCCTCATCCGGGACCTTTCCTGACTCCCCCTAATTAGCCGCTCCGGTCAATTGCATTTTCAAGCAATTTCCAGAAAGAAAGGCCGGTTTAAAAAAAAAGAAAGAAAGAAAGAAGGAAAGAAAGAAGGGGAAGAAGAAAAATACTTCCCCCTCCCCACGCTGCACTGTTTTTTTTTTTTTTGACTGGGCCTCTGCCCAAATAGTCCGTCACCTTGCTTGCAGAGAATTCTGCAGGGAACCCCGAGCAAGGAAAAGCAATCCCCCCGTTTATCCGTGGAGCCCAGTCTCTGACGGGGTTCTGAGGGCATTTGGGGGATAGGGTGAGAAATATCTCCACACACCCCCTTGGGCTCAGGCGTGGAGTTCGAAGCAGGTGTAGACGCTTTGGACTCGCTTTGCTTGAGCCTAGAGGAGGGAAGAGTGTAAGCAAAGGGGCTTGGAGGGACCAAGGCAGTCCAAAGCGCAGTCTTTTTCTTGAGATCCATTCCACCAGGGCCTTACTTTTTTAACGCCCCTCACTTTGGGCCGAAGACACGGGAGAGGCTGTCACAAGCACACAGGCACGCATACTCATATATTTTTAGTAAAAAGAACAAAGTATGTTTCTGGGGAAGGATGCTGTGCCTCCAAACGTTCCTGACTTTGGAGGCTTCACAAATAGAGGAGATGTTTGAGTTTGCGAGAACCGGGCGGCGAGGGCGGCGGCGGTGGGCCCGCATGGCAAAAGTATTTGGAACTTTTCTGACATCCTGGGATCGAGGCAGTTTAATGTTCGAGCTTGCCTGTGAAGGGCGGGACACGAGGAAGGACACGCAGACAGCAAGACAGAATTTTTTGTTTTTAAATCCCCTCTCTTCCTAGGAACAAGGCAATGAGAAGACCAATAATGGCACCCACTACAAGTTGCAGCTCCTCTATAGCAACGGTGAGGCCCTCTCCAGTGCGGAAAAGGGAAGGGATTGGGGGGGGGGGCATTGCGGTTTTCAAACGAAAGGGATTTGAACTCGCAGCTCTGTGTCCTGATGGGGACCTGCTCTTGGGTCACTTCCAGTGCAGGAACTAAGGAGGCATCAGAAGCTGAGCAGCCTGGGGAGGAAGCTGTGGCAGAGGGAGGCTGATGTGGTAGGGAAACTGAGTCCAGCCTGGGCTCTCAGAGGTGCGCAGCATTAGTCTGCGTCCAGGTGCAAGGAGAAAAAGCAGAAAACTGAGGCTGCACCGAGCTCCTCTTTTTTTTTTTTTTTTGGTGGGGGAGGGAGTGGACAAGTTAGTAACTTTTAGTTCTCCCACCCACCAGAGTCTCTCACACCCTCTTTTTCTGAAGTGCAAGATCAAAGCTTTTATCTATTTATTTGTTGGGGGAGGTGGAGGGTTATCTCTTCACTGAGTAGGGGTGCCTGGGAGAAGTTCTCTCTCTCCGGTGGCGGTGGCGGGGCGCAGTGAGTGACTTCTCTGCCTTCTGTATTCACCTTCCTAGGGGTCAGGACCGAACAGGACCTGTTTGTCCGGCTCATCGACTCCGTCACGAAGCAGGTGAGCTGAGCCGGTCGACTTCGGGTCTCTTTTCCTGCCCCTTCATTGCCTTCTCTCCCCTATACCCATTCTCTGTCTTCTCACTGCTGAGGCTTTCCGTCATTTTCCTCCCGCCGCTCGTCTTTTCCTGTCTCATTGCCCCCCTAGGCTTCCTCCAAACTCAGTAGCGGCAAAGTCTAAGTCTTGGGTTCCTCGTCGTCTGAGAGGTGCCAGTGAGAGAGAGAAGAGAGTAGGGAGGACCCCACTTTCTAATTAACCAACTAGCCCCGGATGACAATCTTAAAGGGAAGGACATACCTGAAACGATTTGGGGGAAGGGGATTCAGCAAAAAAAAAAAATCCCCCCCCAGATATATTAATATTTGGCAGAATGGTGGCTGTTTTTTTTTTACCTCCCCCCCGCCAAGTTTTCCTAACAACTGTCTCAATTGTCCATTTCTGAGAAAGATTTAGTTTGTGTTTGATTTTTAAATCGTCTTTCCTCTTTTCCTCCTCCATTCTCTTGTCCTGGCAGCCCATAGCTTATGAGGGACAGAACAAGAATCCAGAGATGTGCCGAGTTCTACTCACACACGAAGTCATGTGCAGGTAAGCTGAAGTTGCTGGGAGGTTGCTGAATGATTCTCTGGAGGGAGAGACAGGGAGACACTTGGAAACCCTTCTCTCACCTCGCGCCCGAGAGCGGGAAAGACAAACTGACCGAAAGATCAGAGACAGAGATGCTCCCATCTCTGGCTCCTGCCTCTCCCTTCCCATCCCCACTAGTGCATTTCTAGGACAGATGTTCCAAGGTCTGGAAAGGGCAAATAGATGGTGAGCAGGCTTTACTCCTGCCGACTTTCCGGGGGGGGGGGGGTATCCTTTTTCCCAGAGTAGACAAAGTACCCTTCTCCACAAATTTCCTAGGACCTCACCAGGAATCTTGGAAAGCTAAGGAGAAACAACCAGTTCCCTAAATATATGATCTCTACCGGGCGGGGTGGGTTTAGACAGTTTCCATGGTCTAGATGAGAAAACATTGGAGCGCAAGGCAAGGGGGAAGAAGACTTGATGGGGTGATCAGTTTTAGAAAGTCTTCCAGGATAGGGGCAGGGGAGCCCCTAACCGTAGCATCCCCGACCAGCATGGGGACTGCTGGCCTGTTTTCTCCCTTGCTGCAGAGGCCACCCCGCGGATTGAGGTTGGGTTTACCGGATTCTAACACTTGTCGAATACTGACTGGGTCTAGCCTCAGTGAAACGGACCGGGGTCTTCCTAATCCATCTCTGCACGCAGCTCAAGTCTCGCCTTGGGCTGGGCGAGATTGTATGTGAGGTGCACTTGGCTCAGACAGATAAAAGAGGCTTTCGGGGAGGCAGCGGTTTGTGTCTAAGTTCATTTCCGCGCGGAAATGTATCGCCTTTGATTTCACCTCGAAGGGAAATCGCTTAGGTCCTCCTGCGGCTGGCCAGCGCCACCGACCTCCAGCCGAGCGAGCCTAGATCAGCTCCTTTTCTAGTGAAAGGTCTTGCGGGCCTGGGTTCTGCCGGGGTGAGGAAGATTAGGGAAATCTCTATTTGCAGTCGGGGAAAGCTAACCATTGGCTTCTGACTGACACACTCGTCCAGGTGCGGGATATTCCGCTCTACCTCTGCCTCCCCTTCGCTTTAAGAGTTTAATGAGATCAAATCTCCTCGTTTCCAGTATTTTTAGGGGGTTCAGGAAGGGGGACAGTGTTAGTTATTTCCTTGGCTGGAAGGTGGGTTTAGAAGTCTCACAATGAAGAAAAAAAAGTATATTGAAGAGAATTTTTTTTTTTTTTTTGCGGGGGTGGGGGGTGGGGGTGGGGTCAGACTCCGCATTCTGTCTTAGACGTCTCCTCCCGGTTACACGTCTCTCTTTGGGTTCTAACGACTCCACCCGCTTGAAGAGAAGGCATCATTTCCCTCCTCCAGATTGGGAGAAAGACATCAACCTCTCCTCCCTCCTTATCTCCCCCCCACCCCCGAAGCTGGAGGATTTTTTTTTTTTTTTTGCTTCTTCTGTAAGGAAAGATCCCTAAATTAATTTCTGGCTGCTTTGCTGGCAGCTCTGGCTGCCCCTACCCCTTTCCCCAGCGTGGTCCGAAAGAAACCATAACAATCAGTCGTGTTTGCTTTTTGGGTCTGCCCAAATATTATCCAAACAAAACTCGCCCAATCTAAAGTGCAGTTTAGCCACCGGGCCTCCGTGGAGGACCGGAGGCAGGTCCTTTCCCGTGCGGCCCTGAGGCTGGCTGACAGCCGGAGGCAGCCAAACCGGCCCCCACCTCCCTTTCGGGGCATTCATTTCTCTGAGCCCCCGCAGCCCGCCGCAGCCGCCGGCCCGGTCTCTGCCGGAGTGATTAACCCGGGAAGAAAAATACAATCCCGAGATGTACTTTCTGTGTGATACCTAGATTAAAGAGACAGAGCACAGGGGCTCCGAGTGGCTAATCAAAGGACAAGGGTTGGGCTTCCTTTGCTCCCTCCCCTCCCGCTGCCCCTTTGTTTGGAGACACCCTCCCAGAGAAGGAATTGCCCATTGTCTGGCGAATCACACCTAGCAATTTGAATGAGCCAGACCCACCCCACCCAGCTGCAAGACCCGCCTGACAGCGGTATTTGTATTTTTTTTTAAAAGCCCAATCCAAGCCTCCTTATTTTATGCTGTTTAAATACGAGGCGGCAGGCATCAATTTTTTAAAAGCCTCTAGTTTCGTCTGCATTAGCAACAGAATATAAAAATTTAATGCGCTGGAACTTCTCGGTAGTTTTGAGAACAGTGGAGGAGCTCGGCTATTGTTCCCCCCCCCCCCCCCCCGCCCCCCTTGCTGTGTGTAAAGCAGATCTCTCTCTTTCTCACCCCCCCCTTCAGTGGACTTGGGTTCCTTCCTGTCTCAGTTCTCACACCTATTATTAGCTCCCAGTAACTTTGGTCAAGTGCCCTCAAATCTCCGAACAAGAATTTATCAACTACTTCCTATGTGCTAGGCTAAGGGGACATAGTAGCAGTTAGCCCTGGGTTCCAATCCGGTATCATGAGCACACTAGTTGTGTGACACTGCCCAGGTCCCATACTCTTTCTCAGTATCCTCAGGAAGCCCTGTAAGACTGTGTTAGGGACAGCAGATCAGCATCCTGGAGGGAGCTTTCCTGCTAGGGATCCCTGCCCCCTTCACGAAAAAATTAGTAGTGTGGCACCTTTCTATTCACCTGCAAAAGACCACTCCCCCCCCAAAAAGTAAAAAAACAATGCTAGGAACTAGGGATATAAAGTTTTGTGTTTTTTTTTTTAAAGTTCTAAAACAGTTTTTTCAGTCAAGCCGCTTACATTCTAATGGAGGTAAGGGTGGTTGGATGGACAGGTATATAATATGTAAAAGGCTAAACAAAGGAAAGTAAATACATCTATGAAATAAGGCTAACATTCGCCTAGGTGATAGGATTGTGGTGAAGAATCAAATGCCTCCATGTGAGAAAGTTCTTTGTGCCACTAAAAGTGTTAAAAATGTAACTCATTCTCCTGTTATTATGCTGTATCTCAAGTAGGCCTCTTTTTAGCCCCCCTTCCTATTAGAGCAGTTTGACTCCAGGGGGGATGAAAGTTCTCCCTGTCTCCAGCTTTTGCAATACAGATACCTCAGTCTCTACTACATGGGAGGGAGGATTCAAAGGCCCAGCTCCCTAGTAGTTAGAAAACATAATTAGTTCCATTTGCATTGAGTCCTTGACATAACTGGACACACTCCCCCATCTCCCCATGTTTCTTGGTGACTGAATTCTGACTAGTCTCCAGTGGAAAAGACGGCATGTGTATGTGTGTATATATATGTGTGTGTGTATATATATAGATATATATATATCTATATATAGATATATATATATCTATATATATATATCTATATATATAGATATATATATATAGATATATATATATATCTTTAAGGGAGAGAGCAGCAAAGTTTGAAAAAATGATTTCCCCAGGAATCACTTTACCCCCACTCTTCTTAACTGCACCCCCCCCAACTCTTCCTCATTTTGCCAATTATTAGCCAGGAGAACTCTCCTCTGTTCTGTTGCTGCCAGCCGCCCCTGCGCCCTCAATGCTCAGAGGGTTAAAAGATATTATAATTTGAACAGAAGTAGTCTCGAGGCCTACAGCTGGCTAATAACAGAGTTGTATTGAGGGCTCGAAAGCCCCACAGCTGTGACTTTTCGCCACAAGGCTCAGGCTAGACAGGAGCCTAATCAGATGGGCCAGCCGGCCAGTGGGGCCAGTGTCTTTATCGGCCAGATGGTGTGAATTTAGACACTTTTGTTATGCAATCACAGGGAGGAGTTGAAGAGGAGAGAAGAAAACAAAGACCGCCATGCTGGGCGCTTATTTGAGTTTGAAATTAGAGACAGATTTTGGAAAGTTGAGGGTAGAATTTGAAAAGCAGGGTTTTTTTGGTTTTGTTTTGTTTTTTGAGGGGCACTGGTTGGTCTTGTGCAGAAGCTTGACTGACTGGACACCCTGTTTGTAGGACTGCCTCCTCTCCCATAATAGTGGTAACAACAAAAACAACAGCAATAATAATAGGAAAGTGTCCTGCAAATCTTAAAGCACTGTAGAAATGTGGTCCTATCAATGAGGTCACACATTGGAGTTTAACAATGATGATGGTGATAAGATCAAACGGCTGTAAATTCCCTCTCCTCCAGTCCTTTGTATTTATTATCTATATTTTCTATATACAAATGTTTAATATAGTTACATAATAAAGACATATTGAAGAGATAATGACGTAGAACATTGAAGACATATTATCTCCTTTGATTGACTATAAGCTCCTTGAGGGCAGGGACATTTCATTTTATATATTGAGCACCTGCCACAGTACCTGACCCACTACGAGCACTAAATAAATGCTTGTTGATCGATTTATTGGCTCTGATTCAACTTTTGGTTCTGCACTTCCTACCCAAATGACTGGATCTCTCTGGATCTAAGTTTGCTCATCTCTAAAAAGGGAGTGTTTAAGACTTTGTTGTTGTTCAGTTGTTTTCAGCCACGTCTGACTCATCATGACCCTTTTGGGGATTTCCTCGGCAAAGATACTGGAGTGGTTTGCCATTTCCTTCTTCGGTTCATTTTACAGATGAGGAAACTGAGGCAAACAGGGTTAAATGACTTCCCCAGGTCACACAGCTAGTAAGTCTGAGGCTAAATTTGAACTCAAGAAGATGAGTCTGACTCCAGGCCTGGCACATGCCACCTAGCTGTCCTTGGGTTTAGACTAGATGGGGAATTTTTCAATTTTGGGGGGAGTCATGAGGTACCTAGGTGGCTAAGTAGGGCCTGGGGTCAGTGTTGTTGTGAGATAATGTTTGCAAAGTGCTTAGCACAGTCCCTGGCATGGAGTAGATGCTACCTAAATGCTTATTCCGTTGCATTCATGGTCTCCTTGGTAGCCTGGGAAGCCTACTGATTCCTCTTCAAAATAGTGTTTTTAGATATATAAAATAAAGTACATAGGATTTCAAAGATTTAGCGAAAATTAAAATGTAATTCCCCCCCATCCACATTCACTGGCCTCTTGAAATCTA